TCAGATTCCACCTTTCACTTGACAGATATAAATAGAAGAAATTTCAAGTTCTTCATATAAGTAACCTATTTTTGAGTAAAAAAAAAGTCCAGGAAATCAGTGGCATTAGTTCTCTGGAACTCACTTCTTACCTAGATGGCCTTGTGTCTTGGTTTCTCTTGTATCCATCAAGTTACCTGTTAATGGAAGTGCCTTCCTTTTCACACATCTCGAAGGTTTTTCAACTATAAACCCCTGTGAATCTGAGTCTGACTGGGCACCAGGGTGGGATTAATATGAAATTAATGGTCCTGACTCCTAGTTCCAAATTGAAAATCATAAAACATCTCTCATAAGTGAACCCAACATGACAGTATGTTTCTTACAAAGAACACCTGGAAGAATAATGGACTGCTTTTTCCCAGAAACAAAGGGCATATTTTAATGGACTAGACAGATTGAGGCACAAATACCAAAAACGAAATATCTGAGTTCTCAGGTTCTGCTTCTGACACTGCATAGTGAATGGTCTTAGATGCTACGTTTAGTGACTGCATTTTCTCCTATGTGAAAATGTGATCATATTCCATGGCTTAAACTCTTCAACATATAAAAGCTACAAAAAGAAAGCCTTTAGTTGGTTTGTATAAAGTTTGGAGCAGAATATTATGGTTACCTGCTCAAATAGGGGAAAGAGTTAATCATATTGGCAGACACCAAGGAATGCTTAATATTATAATGACAGCAAGTTGTCAGATAATTTCACATTTGCTTGGGATAACCCTTCAAGCCCTTCTAAGCCTACAAAGATATATTTAAAATTCTTAAGATTGTAATACTCATAGATATCTGGAAAATCAATTTGTTCAAGAGCCTTTCAATTTTATTAGTTAGATTTGCTGGGACATTTTGGTTATAAATAGTTCACATGGAAATTATTTAAATCATAAAGTAGACTCTTTTTATTCTGCTTGGGAGCTTGGGTTTGGAGTCTATGACTTCCGTGGGCTCTCGTATGTCCCAGGAATATATGGGTAATTGGTTTTAGCAGTGCTTACAGCACATGGTTTCAGTATAGAGTAGACAGTTTTGACCCCAGGAAAACAGACATAATGTTATTATTATTATTTTTTTAAAAAAATAAGAGCACTTGAAGAAATCCAGAAATAAATCCCGAGTTACAGTAAACAAGGCAAGGCAAGGCTTACTCATCACAGGCAAAAGGCAGGCTCATTAAGGAAGGTAATTATTACCTCTGACATGTAGAACCGTGTGCTGCTTTAAATTAAGGTTCTTAACGAAGCATTTCATTGTGTGTCCTTAACGGAGGAATTTAAGGAGGCAGCCTTTCTTCCAAAGTCAATGTGAGCGGGGTTCTCTGTTCAAGAGTTGTACGGTGAAGCATATTTCAGGAAAGAATAGTTCATGGGGATTAAGTACACGAATGTACATGCGATTTCAGGACAGAATGCTGTGCACTGCCTGCCCATCCAAGCCATGTGCTTACACGTGGAAAATTTCAACTTTGCCATGTGCTAAGGATGTGCTAATGAATTTTCGAGGGAGACATGACAAGAGCATGGTTCTTGTCCCTTTTCTGTTAATGTAATGAATGATCCTGAAGAAAGAGTTTCAAGAGAAAGTTGTCTAACAAGTAAATGTTTGCTTTTTTCGTTTATTAGTTTCTGCTTAATTCAACGCTATTGCTCAACATTTTGTTCCTGTGTTGCTTATAGGACTTAGGAAAAACTGCATGTCATTTGAGATTTAAGCATAATCTCACCCCTCCTCTCACAAGATGAGAGTCTGGATCACCAAAACGGAACATTTTGTACCTATCTATAAGCAGTCCCTTCATCAGAGAGTCAGTATTGAACACCAACATCGACATCTTATGATACTCATATTCAGGTATTTTTTATGCTTTGAGGAAAATAAATTGGTTTCCAGGGAGCATATTTCTTTAAACAGTTGTATTTTAAAGCGCTGCCTTTCCTGAGTTATAAATACCCCACTAAACACTGCACTTTTACATGAAATGAGGTTGGTGCTGAAGTCTAAAAAGTTTGCAGTCTAACTCTTTCTCACACACAGCTAAATTCTGGAAAACCTATAGCCCATTACCATGATTTCCCCAAGGATCTTCACCTGTTCCATCTAAGAGTAAGTGATAGTATAGCAATTTTGCAACCTCATTCCCCCCATCTATCAGACGAGCAGCAATGTCTATCAAGCACCCAGGAGACAAGCTAGTCCAAGATAGAATCTATGATCTGTTCCTACTATAGAGAAAAAAAGTCTAAATCTTTCTAAACTTGAGCATGTGAGAGCATTTGAGTGTGACCCATAATATTACCACCTGGTTAAAATCCATTTCCAGTTAAATTACAAAGTCCTATTGTCATTCTCACACACCTCACTGTGGGAATTCCAAGCTTGGTTCATGTCCTTGGTAAGTGCTCAGAATGATGTTTAAGGTCAAATACAGTATGACATGAGCAGTTATGTCAGTGCTTGATGCTGACCTAGCTGTAGTCAGTTTCCATCATGATGTCATGCTTAAAATATATGTTTAGTCTGTTTTTAAAATAAATACATCATTTTCTGATTTGGTTACATGCTATCTTTCCAATCTTGATGACCAGGGCAGGCTTTATTCATTTCTGTTTTTCCCTCTGCATTATTTATAGATACAATAGATGTCCCATCGCTGGTCATTTTAATCCATCGATTATATTGCTGTACATTCCCTGTCTTCCAAAATGAAATGAAGAATAGAGGGAAGGAAGGATGAGTAAAGGCTGGTTAATGGGTACTAAGTTATTGGTAGTTAGGAGAAAGAAGTTCTGGGGTTCTGTTGTACAGTAGGATGACTCTGGATGGCAACGATAAATCTAAGAGTAAAAAGAAAAAATCTAGGAGAGAGAATTTTTAGGTGTTTTCACCATAAAGACATGATAAATATTTGTCCTGGTATAAATATGTATCAAGACATTACATGGAGAAAATGAATGTTTATAATCTTTATGTATGAGTTCTTGCCCGGTCAGAGCAGGGAAGGGCTGTTATAGAAGAGAGAATTCAAACGTGGTGTGGCTCATAGGATTGCGAGAGGATGGCAGGGCACAGGTGGGTCACAGGTAACGGTTGTCTTACTTTCACTCACTCTCCTTGATGCTTCTGTTGTGTCAGCTGTGTCAGGTGTTGATGAGCTGAGATCTTCTTGTGTTCAAAATATTTCTGTAGTAACCCTACCTTCTGCTGCAAGTAACTGTGGAATCACAGAGGAGAGAGGGAGAGAGTACTCAGTATGGTTCTTACTTACTCAAGCATCCAATCAGGCTTCCTTTTATCATTCCTGATCTGCAGGACTGCATACATATGGACCCATTGCCTCTATTTTTTGAGGCTATTAGTAAAGATGTAATTTGTTTCTTATTGGCCTTTCACAGGGTGGAGTAGTTTGTTATCATACATCTGCCAACTGCTCTTCATCCTAAGTATTCTTGGAATCTTTCATCTGCTCTCCTGCTTTCTCCAACACCTTTTTATTATGAGATGTTTTTCTCTTGAGTCCCTTTGTTCTCATTTTAATAACATTTCATAAGTGAGAAAGAGAAATATCATCGCTCAACTTACAATGATTGATCAAATGTATCCATTCCATTGCTTTTTTGAAGGCTAACAATGCCTTTCTCTTTGAGTCACTGTCTACTTACTGTGTCAATCCTTAATTTATTTTCCTTAGCACTTGTTATTACTTACTATTTTCCTGTATTGCATAATCTGACATATTTGCAATTCTTTCCCTATTTTTTCATGTTCTCTCAGTGTAGATTTTTCTTCAAAATTTATCTATCCCCTTACTTTGAAAGTTTCCAAAAATGCTGTTTATGTTCTTCTTTCACCTAAGGATTAATTGATGCAATATATGCCGTCAGTTATTGTACTCTGCGGCAGAAAATAGGAGCTCAATATAACCACCTTTGCAAATTACCTCACATAGCTTCTTTTGCTTATCATCACATCTATCAAATTTGATTGTAATTTATCCAAGGTCTGGATCTAAATTTGATTTGCCTTTGTGTGTTTAACCTCTAGAACTATGACCTATGTGTGTGTGTGTGTGTGTGTGTGTATAAAACATTTGATGCTTGATGAGTGATTTTGGAAAGAAAAAAGGAAATTAGCAAGAAACAAAGGAATAAGAAGTTGATTTTATTTGCAAGAATTTGTAAACTACCCAGGAAGCATTAAAAAATAACCATGATAGTTTATTTGGTTTCCTAATGAATAAAAATACTGATAAAAAAACTTACACTTTGGGATATCTCTTTCAGATATGCAAGAAAATAGCATCAGAGTTTTAAATTTGAGTTCTTGGGGGTAAATAAGAAAGTTTTATTAATAACTACAGCTTTCATGTTTTGTTAGCTACACTGGTAAGTTTTTTTTTTTTTTTTTTTTTTTTTTTTTTTTTTTTTTTTTTTTTTTTTTGACAGGCAGAGTGGACAGTGAGAGAGAGAAACAGAGAGAAAGGTCTTCCTTTGCCGTTGGTTCACCCTCCAATGGCCGCCGCGGCTGGCGCGCTGCGGCCGGCGCACCGCGCTGATCCGATGGCAGGAGCCAGGAGCCAGGTGCTTTTCCTGGTCTCCCATGCGGGTGCAGGGCCCAAGCACCTGGGCCATCCTCCACTGCACTCCCTGACCACAGCAGAGGGCTGGCCTGGAAGAGGGGCAACCGGGACAGAATCCGGCGCCCCGACCGGGACTAGAACCCGGTGTGCCGGCGCCGCTAGGCGGAGGATTAGCCTAGTGAGCCGCGGCGCCGGCCCTACACTGGTAAGTTTTATTCTTCTAAATTGTGTAGCACAACTTATGTCACACACACAATGTAACAAACGCCTACCAGACATAATGTATCTTGATCAGTAGTGGTTTTATTATTAGTTATTCATTTTCATTTTATTTGTATTTCATATCCATATTATTTATTTAAGGGAGAGAGAGAGAGAGAAACAGACAGAAAGATCTTCCATCCACTGGTTCATTCCCCAGTTGTCTGGAACAGCTGAGAAAGGCCAAGCTGAAGTCAGAACTCAATCCAGATCTCCCAGTTGGGAGGAAGATGCTCGGTACGTGAGCCATCACCCGCTACCTTCCAAGGTATACATCAACAGGAACCTGGAATCAGAAATGGAGCTGAATTCAAACCCAGGTACTCAGATATCATTTCTGCTGATGCACCAAACACTTACCCTGTGTTCTAAATAACTAAAACACATGAGAAAATGAGTATATAAAGTTATGATTTTTAAAATTGCATTGAAATGCCTGAAAAGAGAGGATACAAAAAGATCTTCTCCATCTGTTTTGTCCCTAAAGAAAGTCATGATTACAGAGGAGAAACGCATAGCTAGCTAGACCCATGGGTATGAGGAGAGACTGTATGTACTGGTTTAATTTAAAAATGTCAATGTAAGTATGATAAATAAATTTTGGAAACATTTTGGGGCTGGTCTCCCATATGGGCACTGGTTCATGTCCTGGTTTTCCCACTTCCAATTCAGCTAACTGCTGATGGCCTGGGAAAAGAAGGGGAAGATGGCCCAAGTTCTTGGGGCCCTGACACCCTTGTGGGAGACCTGGAAGAAACTCCTGGCTCCTGGCTTCCGGCTCTGGCTTCGGTTTTGCCCAGTGCTGGACGTAGCAGTAATCTGGGGAATGAACCAGTGGATGGGACATCTTTGCCTCTCTCTCTCTCTCCCATCTCTGTAACTCTTACTTTCAAATGAATATATAAAAATCTTTTTAAAAAAAACTTGGAGACATTTAACATGGCATTTCCACTTATCAAAAGCGTTGGAGAATTCTCTGAAATGTGCTTTGTATTTCGTTATTTCTTGTTGATACATCCTTTCTCTTTGAGACATTCCTTCTAAGCAGAATGCTTCTTCAGAGCTAAAGAAAGCATTTGAAAGCCTTACAGAGGGTTGGCACTGTGGCTCACTTGGTTAATGCTCCGCCTGCAGTGTCAGCATCGCATATGGGTGCCGGTTCTAGTCCCGGCCACTCCTCTTCCAGTCCAGCTGTCTGCTGTGGCCTGGGAGGGCAGTGGAGGATAGGCCCAAGTACTTGGGCCCCTGCACCCGCATGGGAGACCAGGAAGAAGCACCTGGCTCCTGGCTTCGGATCAGCACAGCATGCTGGCCGTAGCAGCCATTTGGGGGTTGAACCAACAGAAGGAAGACCTTTCTCTTTGTCTGTAACTCTACCTGTAAAATAAAAAAAAATAAAAAAAAAAAAACCTTACAAAGACACTGTTCAGCAAGCCTCTCTTCTCCCTGCTGGAGGTGGGCTGGAGATCTATGAGTGATTTTTTAGAATAAAACATCAGGGGAGTGAAGTTCACTCTTTTGAAGCAAATGACCTTTGTGAAAAAAATTTGTATTATCTCAAATTGCCAGAACCACCCCATAGCCACCCATTTCTCGTGTTAACCAGTTACCAAGGCCCTGGTGATGACTTTTTCAAGGTGGCATGGCGGGGACTTCCTCAGTGACTCTAAAAGTCTAGAAAGGCGATTGACTGAGTTAACATTGGCCATATCATCTTACATTTTTTCAATCAAAATCACTCTTGAGATGATGCTCAAGGCCTTTCTTTTTTAAGTAACAGCAGAGTGTGGAGGGCTTAGCTTTAGGCTAGGTCCTGAGCAATCTTGCTTTTCTTTCTGACTTGATATTGAAATGAAGTCTTGGACTCAATGAAATCCTGCTGTCTCAATCATTTCTTCAGATAAAGAAACGTCTTTTGCTGAGGCTTCTCTCTGCACGTGGTTCTCTCAACAACATCCACAGAGACTGAAGAGACACAGATGACAACAAGAAAAGAGATTCTTGGAGGAAACCAAGGAAACACAGGTGCTTCTACCCATTTTCATAACTGACCAGTTTGTGAAATTGCGTAGGCTGAAAAGGAAGCCATGAGCGGTAAGGTGTGCAGTGTCCCTTGCCTTCTGGTCTCCATGGGCCACCACGGGAATTTTGGAATTGGACCAACAACAGGTGGTTACAATCCACCCCCACTAAGTGTGTGTTCACAGAGTACACAGTGGGAGATCAGGTAACACTGGGGAAGCTGGGAGGAGCACTGTCTCCCGAGGATTTTAGCTTCCCATCAGGAGAGCTAAAGTGGCTATAAGAAAAATGCCATGTGTGTGGAGAGCATGAGGGAAGGTCATATATCTCAGAAAGGAATATTGTTTACAAGGAGTGTTAATAGGTTTCAGGGGAAATGTTAATTTTTTTTCCCCTGGATGAAATAGCTACTGTAAGTTTTTAATGGTTAATCATTCATTCCTGAATTTTTATATTAAGCATTTCATATTACTTTATTGACTTAACTTTTGTGCTCTTCTTCATTTTGACAGTAAAGAATGACCAGGCAATACTCTTTGAAAATTGGAGACCATTTGCAGCTGCTCTCTGTTGAGGAAAGTGAATAATAGGGTGCCCTCAAGGAATTTCAAAGGTATCACTCAACAGAAACTTTTGTGTCTGAAGAAAACTGGATCATTTTATCATGGTAGGCATACTGATATGTTTGCTTTAATAAAATGCCATATTTCTGCCTTTAATCTCTTGTCAACCCACTATGAAAGGGCCCCAAAGTGCATGCGTGCAGCACATGTAAACACTTGTGGTTTTGAGGTTACCACAGAACACACTAATAAAGCATGTAATTTGTGTTTTGTGCACAGACTGTAATAATATTGAGTGGTAGAAGGAAGCTAGAAAAGGATTGTCTCCAACTTTAGCCAAGCAAGTCAAGTTGATTGTAGCGCTCTACACACAGGTGCCTGTGTATACATGTAGGAATGTCGAAGTTGTATTCAAACAGATCAGGAGTCACCATATAAAAACGAGGCAGGATGTAAATTCATTTCACACACATGGAGGGCATCGTATCAAGTGTCTGGATGCTTCTCCTTAAAGCTAATCAATCAGGAAGGTTGACAATATTGTCAACCTTAACAGGATGTCAATTGAGTGAATTCAAGTAGATTAAAACAAATCATAAGAGTAATTACTTTTATAAACTTGGTGAACGTTACCCCCATAGCCCCTGACAGAAAAGGGCATAGGAGGGGCTTTGACCTCTTTTTATTTGGGATGACAAGATGTGGAAAGTTGAATCACTTCTACAGGATCTTCTAAGTGTTCACTCTCAGACTGCAACTCCTGCCATGCTTATCTGAGTAACCATTTCAACCATTTACGTAACATATTTACAGGTAAGGATTCTTCCATTGTACCTTAGTCATCTTTACTTGCTCATTTCTTTCTTCGCAAGATACCTTGCTCACAATAAATCATCAATACTCATAATTTGAGTGGGAAGTCCTTGACTCTGAAAGAAATGATACCCTTACTGATTATGTATCAGTTTTTCTTTTTTAAATGCAATATTCTGTAAGTTGGGATTGAAACCACGCTTTCCTCAAACAAAACCATGTTCAGTGGAGAAATACCTGTTCCCAGAGAAATCGGTGTTAGGTATCCAGAACAAGTTTATTCCCCAAAGCTGTAGGCACTCTTCTTGGGAAGCAATTGACAATTCTCTATGCTTTTATTCTTTTTCTTAAAGTATATTTATTTATTTGAAAGTCAGAGTTAGAGAGGGAGAGGGGGAAAAAGAGAGAGAAGGAGGGAGGGAGGGGGGAAGGGAGGGAGGGAGGGAGAGAGAGAGAGAGAGAGAATCTTCCATTTGCTGTTTCACTCCCCAGGTGGCTCCAATGGCAAGGGTTTGAATCAGGCCAAATCCAGGAGTCAGGAGCTTCTTCCGGGTCTTCCACATGGATGGCAGGGACCTATGCACTTGGGTGATCTGCTTTTTGAACCTGGATCAGAAGTGGAGCAGCCAGGACTTGAACAGGTACCCACATGGGTTGCTGGAGTTACAGGCAGCAACTTTAGCCACTATACACAATGCCACCCCCCTTTCAAAGAGACTTATTTATTTGAAAGAGTTATGGGGGAGGGGGACAGAGAGAGAGAGAGAGAGAGAAAGGAGAGAGAGGAGAGAGAGAGAGAAAGAAAGAGAGAGAGAATGGTTTTATTCTTAAAATGGAAATATGTATATCAGGCCGGCTCCACAGCTCACTAGGCTAATCCTCCGCCTTGCGGCGCCGGCACACCAGGTTCTAGTCCTGGTCGGGGTGCCGGATTCTGTCCCGGTTGCCCCTCTTCCAGGCCAGCTCTCTGCTGTGGCCAGGGAGTGCAGTGGAGGATGGCCCAGGTGCTTGGGCCCTGCACCCCATGGGAGACCAGGAGAAGTGCCTGGCTCCTGCCATCGGATTAGCACGGTGTGCCGGCTGCGGTGGCCATTGGAGGGTGAACCAACGGCAAAGGAAGACCTTTCTCTCTGTCTCTCTCTCTCTCACTGTCCACTCTGCCTGTCAAAAAAAAAAAAAAAATATATATATATATATATGTATATCAGTTTTCAATGTGAAGATAGATCTTTTGTGGTACATACCTGTTAAATCTAAGAGCTAAATGAACGAGTACTTTGGGTCACCTGTGGGGAGCAACTCGGACTAGACTGTTACTGGAATTAAGACTTATTCTATGCATCTGCTCTCCCACAATATGGCGCTGGGAGAGGAGTAAACAGCTTCTACGCAGCTGCCTCTCGCCAACTTGAGTGATGACCTGCAGGAGCTGATCCCGCTCCTGATTGGAGGAGAGCAGCGTACTCGGCGTGTGGGTAGCAGAGTTGGGATTGGTGGAAGAGGACTATAAAGGAGGAGAGAGACAACATGCACCAGGAACATCTATCTGAAGGAACACCTGTGCAGCCCCCGAGAGAGCCGGCCGGTGGTGTGCCACTCCCCCGCGGAAGTGGGGAAAGTGGCAGGGGGCACCGCCCTTCCACGGAGGTGGAAGGGTCGGTAGCCAACCCGGGAAGAACCAGCAGCAAACCCGGGGAGGGCCGAGCAGACAAAAGAACAGCGCAGGGTCCTGTGTCGTTCCTCCACGAAGACGGGGAGCGACATCACCTTTAAGTGATAAACTTTGCTTTCATTTGGATGTATATTTGCCTATCTAATCAACCACCTCCAATTGTCCATGATCTCAGTGACAGGTCAAACTCTTTGTTAAGAGATACATAAACAACAGTGTGTGTCTGAAGGAGACCCCATTTGAAGAGAAATCAGATGGCACCCAGATAAGCAAGGCTGATTCAACCTAGAAAGAAGTTTTCTACGATGAACCAAGCCAGCTTCCTGGACATAGGAGAAGGAACTGTGAACTTCGTGCCATTCCATCATTTCTGTGAGTTGAAATGATCTACCGTATAATCATTGGCTTAGAAAATGAAAACACACAGAAAGGAGAAGTGAGATAAAGGGAGGGAGACAAAGAAAAAAATAAGAAAGAAAATGACCAGAAAGCCATATTATTCTGCTGTTTCTCTTGTATATGTTGACTGACAATATTTTGTTTGTAGTAACAGAGATATTGGGGTCAATGTTCACAAAACGCCAGAACATTTTCAGATTAAAAGTTAGAATTTTAATTTTCAGTTAAAAGTTTCTGTTTGAAAGATTTTTAGATTGGCATGTTATATAATAGATATGAGAAAGTAAAGCTTGGTTATTTAAGTAGCTAAGTTAAAACAAGCTTAATTGGTGACTCTTCGCCTTAGCAGCCTTTTATTTTTCGATTTCCTGAATCTACATGGGTGCCAAATCATCTTTCATGAAGTGCCTGTAAGTGGAGTCAATTTCTTTTAAAATACGCACGTGTGTGCGTGCACACAGCCCATGCTGTGGGTGGGAAGGGAGCAAACAGAAAAGACTCAGAGTCAAAACAAAGTGAGCTTCCAGGGTCATGTTTAATCTGAAACTTTGTGAGGCTGCGCAGGTTCACGGATATCAAACTTACTTTATTTTAACGTGATAATCAAAACAGTTGTTGAAAGATTTTAGATACAGATCAGATTCAGCTCTGAATAATGACAAAAATGAATCTATCTAGACTGCTACATATAAACTATACTGTAAATTTTAAATATTTAAAATTAAATAAGCATCCACTAGTAACTCTTTTCAGGATTTTCGCCTTTTAAATGAAATCTGTATACAAACAGATTAAAATTCCTATTTGAAGTGGTAAATGTAAAGTAATTCTACAATTATTACACAACCATGCTTGATATTAAAACACAGGCATGAATATAACAGGACACAAATGTAAGAGGTGTAACAAGTCGGTTTTTTCCTCAATAGGGATTGAAGAAAAGACAATATTTCTTTTTCTTAGTTAATTGTCCCAGAGCTCACATGTATTCCTTTATGTTGAGGTCTAAAATTAAGGAATAAAAGGCAGAACTAAACAGGATGCAACAAATTCAGATTCCAAGGTGTGGGGGACTGTTTATGCTTTTTTTTGTAAGCATTGATCTTTTAAAGTAATTTTGGAATTCAATATTCTAATGCCAAAACTTTCCATGATTTAAGTTTTAGTAGATGTGAAATATCTAGATGTAGATTCAGTTACAGCTGGGCTAGAGTTTGTCAAATGTGACCTCTTAAAGAAAATTATTATCCATATCTATTAGACTGATAATTTACATTGGTTCCACTTTGGTAGGTACTTTTCATATTTAAAATAATCAATAGCTCTGAGTGAACATTAAAAATAAATTCTGAATCCAATCTTTCAGCCTTGCTAGTTCAAATTATTTGTAAATTCAAAGACAAAACCTTCTAAATTCTGAATGAATTCACATTCATTCTACGTAATTGCTCCACAGAATAATGAAAGAATGAATGAACCTCCACGCATCTAGTGGGAACTGCTCATGCATGAAATAATCATTTACTCTGAATGAACCTTTAAGAAAATCATTCTAAGGGCTGGTGATCGGGGAGTAAACAAGACATTAAATTTCTTGCCCTTTGGGAGTTTACATTCTGATGATTAAACTTCGTCAAACACAGTTAATTCATTTCCAAGTAAACACCAACGCAATTGGGAAAATAATTCTTCTCATTCTCTTTTTCTGACTCCAGTGGTTTCCCTTTTCCACCACCAGGAACAAGCTGTGAAGGCCTACGGACTGGTGTCTGTGCAGGTGCAGCTATCTCACGGTGGACGTGGGGCCTGCAGGGCACGTGCGGGTCTCGCTGCACAGGTGCCCTACTCCCCCGGCGGGCGTGTGCTGCTGCTCTAACCAGTGCGCTAGCTCGTGCGCTATTATCGGGAAGTACCTAAGCTTTCAATTCCGGAAAGCTGGCTTGTACTAGGAAAGTGAAGCCAAAGTAGAAAACGTGCATCCCTTGTTTCCCCCAGAAAGGTGAACAACTCCCCACACGTAATGCCCACCTGTATGCACGTGACTGGGAGAGACTGAGGGTTTCCTTGAGAGGAGATGGAAGGCAACCACGTAGAAAGGGGAGAACCCCATTTTTTCTGCAGCATATATCACTGTTTGCGTTTTCTGATGTAATAGTAGCCAGGATTCTGGCTGCTGCTTCAAGTCCTGTTTGATTTTTCTCCATAGGCAATTCTGCGCTCACCTTACGTTTCCTGTTAGAGCTCTCACTGCCTTGCATCCTTCACCCTGGGGAGGCGCCCAGGCTGTAGCGGGGCTCTACAAATGTGGAGCAGATGGAGGAGCAGCCATGCCGGCAAGAGCTATCGCCTGACAAAGCGGGGCTTCAGGATCGGAGAAACCGCGGCACGGATGAACCCACTGCGGTGGGAAAGGTGTGTTTGGAGTCAGGAGAACGGAATTTTGAATCTTTGATTGATGAAACCTCAGCCTCATTGCTAAGTCCTGGTAGTGCCAGCAAGCTCCCTTTAGCTATCCTATCCGCTAGACATGGTTTCAAGTGCTTTGTTTATTAATTCTTACAATTCTCCAAGGTAAGAACTATAAACATTCCCATTGCACTGGAGAGAAAACTGAGGTACAAAGCAAAGCAGTAAGTTGCCTGTGGTCACACAAAGGCTTGACAGATCCAGAAACTATGAAATGGGAAAAATTTTTATTTATTTATTTATTTATTTATTTTGACAGGCAGAGTGGACAGTGAGAGAGAGAGAGACAGAGAGAAAGGTCTTCCTTTGCCGTTGGTTCACCCTCCAATGGCCGCCGTGGCCGGCGCACCGCGCTGATCCGATGGCAGGAGCCAGGTGCTTCTCCTGGTCTCCCATGGGGTGCAGGGCCCAAGGACTTGGGTCATCCTCCACTGCACTCCTGGGCCACAGCAGAGAGCTGGCCTGGAAGAGGGGCAACTGGGACAGAATCCGGCGCCCCGACCGGGACTAGAACCTGGTGTGCAGGCACCATCTGCTAGGCGGAGGATTAGCCTAGTGAGCCGCGGTGCCGGAAAAATTGTCTCCCTCTTTGCAGTGCTCACATTGCTGTAAAAGCTGTATGTGAAACACTCAGTAAACGCATGATTCATATGGATTGGTCAAGGAGTTAGGTTAGGTTCCCGAGCTAGAGGTCTCACCTCCCTTGCCCCCATGTACTCTCACCTCTATCTACCACCTGTCAATCAGACTGTGGAACCACTCCCCTTCTGGAAGTGCGTAAGAGGCCTGGAGAGCTCTGGGCCATCTCTCTCGGCTGTGTGCACTCTGGCTTGTGCTCTCCATCGCATAGTATGGAGCTCCCCATTTACTCTTTTTGGCCCACTCTCCCTTAAAAAAGCCCTCACATTCCTGGTATTCTTCTCACTCTCTAAAAAATCCTAAACCTTATCATCCTACATGTCTTGTTTGAGTTGGTGTTTAGAATTCTTCTCTAAGTAAATGGCAAGAACATGAAATATTAAATTTTGACTTAGTTAAGCCCATCACATAAATGGGGACCATGAAGGGACTTTAAAGGCAGCAGCAAGATAAGTGGGTTTCCAATGGTTTAAGTCCTGAAAATTTTCTGTCTCCTAGCCTCTCTTCTCTCAGATTTCCTGGTTTCCAGCTAAAATGCAAATGTTAATATATTTTATGTTCCTAATTTTGGTCGTTTCAGGGGAGCAAAGCTAACACAAAATTTTAGCATTTCTGGAATTAAGGAGAAAAAGCAAAAAAAAAATAGGGCCAGTTTATGAATGTTTTCTGATATTTAAATTCTTCCAAGTTGTTTGTGACATGTTTTTAAGGATAATTTATGTATTTGGGAAAGTTAAAATTTAAATCTTTTAGTTGTATGGAAGGATTTCATGGTTATCGACAATTGGTTTGCCTCAGGTTTTGATTTAAAAAATCAGGCATTCCGGAGCAACTTTTAATTTGCCGGATTTGGATGGTACAAACTGGAGAAAAAAACACTAATGTTGCCTAGTAACCACATGTTTTGGGAAGTGGAAGTTCGAACATGGTGGAGGGTCCATCTCCTCTGGCGAAGGGTGGGATTTCCATCCCAAAATGGCAGTTTCCAGGAAAAATAAATAAACAAGTGGTTGTCAAGTGGGAGGATACTATGAGGACTTCTGTCCTTACTGGAAGATGGGCAACAGACTCCACCCCCAAGATAGCGAACCCCCGTGGCTGCCCACACTGTGCACACCTAGTTAGCACAGTGACTTTTTATTTTTCTATTTTAGTCTATTATTTTCATGGCCATGCACCGGATGGTAGAATTCATGTAATTGGATTCCTGGTCTTTTTTTATTTTAGCTTTTTATTTTTTTATTTCATGGCTCTGTGCTGGTCACCTCTTGAATTCTCTGGTTGGTTATTTTTTTGTTTATTTTTGTTTTTCATCATTTTAGCTTTGCACCAGTTCCCTTATATTTTAGTTTGTTATGTTATGGCTTCATGCCACCTCCCTTAGGTTCCCGTATTTTTTGTTTTGTTTTGTTTTTAATCTGTTATCCTATTTGGCTCCACACCAGTCAATTTTTAATTTTTTTATCTTTTTTGGCTATACATCAGAATTTGTTGGCCCCCTGGGATTTGATACCCCTCACCACCCTGCCAGGAGTGGTATGGCAGTCGAATGGTGCTTTTCAGACTAAGAAGTGTTCTTCTTATTACTTTTTATCCTTAAAATTTATTTTAGCTTCACACTGGTTCTCTGTGGCCTTTTGGGAGTTGGTGTGCATGGCAGGCCGTGGGAGACTTCATCTCAGATCAGGCAGTTTTCTCTGTGGCTTCCTGGGATGATGTGTCCCAGACCAGGTAGTTGTCTCTTTGTTTTTGTATGGTATTCTGGCTTTATGCTGGTTTTAAAAAAGGGAGGAAAAATTGGGAGCCCCATCAGTGCACTGGCTAAAATAATAGACCCCATTTTGCATACAAATGGAGACTCTAGGGTGTCAAAATTATAGCTAATGCGATGTATCCGAGTCATATGCTTAAGGATAATAAGGCTCTTTGAGAGCCATGTTTATTATTATTTTCTCTTGTCCTACAGAGAGACTGTTCAACTCTATGGTTCCACATCCATTCCTGTGGACTTACTTCTAAGGGCACAGTTTGAAAACGTGCCATGGGATCCCACGTCCCCATGAGCTGGATGGTAAAAGTAGCATTTTAAGTGTTTAATGATAATATAGATAGGGTCAAAGAGGAGGGGATGCATCAACATGGGAAGCAGTCCATACAGCAGAGTCATAGGTTGGCAGTTGCCATAAATAACACTCACTGGACTCAGAGACAGCCCATAAGGCATTCTAGCCTGGCTGAAAAGCCCACAACATGTTATGGAAAAGTCAGGACACTGGTGCAAAATATGTCCCTACATGAAGAAAATCTGCGATTGAGACCCCAGTGGAAAAAGTGGTCATCAAAGAAAGACGTACTCATCTCTGAAGGAAAGAACTTCCACTTTGCTCACAGCCTTGTCTGAAAACTAATGGGATTTGTGGATTCAAAAGTCTTCTACGGGCTGGCGCCGCGGCTCACTAGGCTAATCCTCCACCTAGCAGCGCCGGCACACCAGGTTCTAGTCCTGGTTGGGGCGCCGGATTCTGTCCCGGTTGCCCCTCTTCCAGGCCAGCTCTCTGCTGTGGCCAGGGAGTACAGTGGAGGATGGCCCAGGTGCTTGGGCCCTGCACCCCATGGGAGACCAGGAGAAGCACCTGGCTCCTGGCTCCTGCCATCGGATCAGCGCGGTGCGCCGGCCGCAGTGCGGCGGCCGTGGCGGCCATTGGAGGTGAACCAACGGCAAAGGAAGACCTTTCTCCCTGTCTCTCTCTCTCACTGTCCACTCTGCCTGTCAAAAAAAAAAAAAAAGTCTTCTACGGCCTAGGCTCAAGTGATTACTGACATCACACATAAGAGTGTTAATTGCAGCAGTCACAGTGTACTAACTTCCCATGCAAGTCCTCTATCCTCAAAGAATCGTATTATTAGAGTTAATGGTAAAACTTGGTCTTGCTACTGGTGAATGGTAGGGTTCCTGTCTTCGCGCCAGAAAGAATTCAGGCATGAGACAGAAAGTAGTGGAAAGTAAAATAGCAAGGTTTATTAGGGAAGGGACATCCATAAGAACGGATGGGCACCTCTCCAGACAGAACCTGAGAGAGAGTGCCCAGTCGCTCGGACTGGGGGAAGAGTGAGGTCACATGGTTGAGTGGAGAGATTACACTCAGGCAGGCCAGGCGGGCGGCTCAGCAGAGAGGCAGAGGGCTGAGCGCACAGTCTGGTGTCTGGTTGAGGCCCAGGGAGGGGGGCGTTTAAGGGATAGGTCTTTGTCTTCTCATCTCTGCTCCTCTTGGAACAAAGGACTTCTTGGATGTAAATAGAAAAGCTCCTATCTGAGTTTTCCCCCTGAAGTTATCAGACAGGAGGAAGCCTGGCTGGCAGCACTCTGGTTAGAGGAAGGGTGAGCAAGACCCCCTGGAGGATGGAGGATCAGGAGGATATTTGAAATGCAGATATCAGGCAGAAGGGGTGGGGACCCCCACCTGGCAGGTTATCAGGTAGAAGGAGCAGGGCAGGATGCAAATACTGGGCTGCCCCTGAAACATTACCAGGATGACTTTGAGATGCATATGCTGGACCTAAATGTCTCCTTAGGCCTTTGTCACACGCACATAAGCTCATATCTGACTTCCTAACTGTCTCAGAGATTTACTTTGTTTTAATGTGTTACATAGAGGATATCATTATGTCTTATAAGTTTCATTCATGTCTAAGTGACCAACTCCATTGCTTGTAAGAGATTTGTTATTATTCTTAAGTATTTCCTTACAGTTAATTCAGTTTCTCAGACATGGACTCTTGGACCTGTGTCTCCCTGTAATACTCCTGTCTTGCCTGTTTTAACATCAAATGGAGAGTACAGAATGGCTCAAAGTCTCAGGACTATGAAGGAGGCAGCTATTCCCCGTGCATCCTATTGTGTGCTAAATCCTTGCCTAAAGGATGTTTTCTTCTGCATCCATTAAACCCGGAATCTGGGAAAGCGAGGATAGAGTTTCCCCAATGAAAGCTCAAATTTCTAAATAGGAGGTAGATTACCTGGGATTATCCCAGGTAAAGCCTGCTCTTTCAGGAAAGAGAAAGGAAGCTATTTGATGGAAGTAGCTACATGAAGGAAGACATTAGAAAGGCAAATTGTGTTATAGTGGATCTTATCCAGGTAATAGAAGCTCAAGCATTGCCAAGTAATACTTCAGCTCAAAAGGCTGAATTTACTGCATTAACTAGAGCCTTGCAATTAGGAAAATGTCAGCGAGTTAATATATATGCAGACTCCAAATATGCTTTCCTTGTGTTACACGCACATGCAGCAATTTGGAAAGAAAGATGCTTATGGACTGCAAAGAATTCCCATTAAATATGGAAAGGAGATCTGAGCTCTGCTTCAGTCAGTGCCGGAACCTTTGGAAGCAGCTGGCATCAGAAGGCGGAGAGCTATGTTAGCAAGGGAAATGTGTGTGCGGACAAGGAGGCGAAAATAGCTGCTGACAGGATGTTCTGGCCACAGCTCTGCTACCTCAGCCTGCAGTAATGGCTAAAGTGTCTCGCTCTACTGAGATCTGATGGATCCAACAAGGTTATACTAAAGATGCTAGCGGTGGTGGACTTTTGATCATAAGGTTATGCTTCCAATGGCTTCTCACTGGCCAATTATTAAGGAAATGCATAACTCTACCCATCTGGGAAGAGGAGCTTTAATGCAATTCGTCTCTCCAGTGTTGAAGGGAAAGGACTAGGTGATGTCCTATGAATTTCTTACCATCTTCATGCTCTTCTTGGAACCCTCAGTCATCGGGTGAATTTGAAAAGGGATATTCATGGTCTTAAAAATATTCTAGCTAAGCTTGGCCAAGAGATCTAAGAAATGTGGCTTAAACTGTTGCCTATTGCTCTTCTCAGGATGAGAATAGCACCCAAGACTGCCTTAAGGGTTCGTCCATATGAGATGCTCTATGGAAGGCCTTCCTTCACCTCTGACATCCTCTTTGATTCAGAAGTTCAAGATCAGATAAAGTATATTATCGATTTAGGCCAGATACAAAAGGCTGTGATAGAGTATGGTAATAAAGTTCTCCCAGTGCCAGATTCTAAGACTGATGGACAGCCTATTTCCCCAGGAGACTCAGTTTTATTAAAAACTTGGAAGGAAGGGTCCCCTTCAGACCAGCTGCAGCCTAAATGGAAGGATCCCTACCAGGTGCTGCTGAGTACACCCACCTCGGTGAAATTACAGGACCCCCCCAAGCTGGGTGCATTTGTCAAGGATTAAATTTCCACCTCTTGAGTCTTCATAGGTGAACTCGAAAGATAACGTCTGCCTATTCCTGTGAGCCGATCAAAGATCGCACGTTCCTCTTCAAAAAGCAAAAAGATAAGTAAAGCTTTTGCTTTCGTTTTATCGAGACTATTGCACTTTAAGCCATACATGTTATACCCAATTTTTTTTTTATTCTCTCTGGGAAATTTTATTGTCAGAAAAACTCCTTAGTGGGTTCTTGTATTATAATACTAGGAGATCGTGCTGAGCCACATGAAGCTGATGTTAAAAACCTGACCATTGCTTTAGGCAATCTGGGTTATGCTTCAGGCCAACTTGTACAGCAAGTACTTATGTCTGTGGACACTCTGTGCAAAGTAGTTATGGACAACTGGCAGGCCTTGGAATATATATTAGTAAAACAGGGAGGAACATGTGCAGTGATTGATGGAGTCTACCACCTTTACTCAAACAGTAGTATGTTCACTGAAAGACACATTAAAAATCTCTATGCTCAGGCTAGATGGTTTATAATCTGCATAAGGAGAGTCCATCACCACCCACTATCTGAGAGTCTATTGAATATGTTATTTGCATCTTAAAGGGCACTCCAATTGAATTTTTTTCCAGTTTTGCTCATGTTGATTGACAAACTTCTGTGTTTTGGAATTCAACAATTTGTGAGAGTAGTGATGACCATGTGGGGGACACAGCCATTGGTGGTGACTGAAAATTCCCCAGCTGGTGAAATGGATTCATTAGGTGAGATAGGAAGAGATTTCTGGACCCCAGACAGGCAGGGCCTGCATCCATGATCAGCAGGAAGCAGATACAGAAGATGTGATGGGTCTATGCCATTAAGCATCTTGTCAAGATTAAGGGTCAGGAATCTCTGAGGGGGGATGATATGGGGCTGGTCATGGACTTAGGTTAGGTTCCTGAACTGGAGGTCACACCCGTGTTACCACCACGGACTCTCACCTGTTTCCACCACCTGTCAATCACACTGTGTAACCACTCCCCTTCTGGAAGTGAATAAGAGGCCTGGAGAGCACTGACCCCATCTCTCTCTTGCCTGCCCCACTCTTGCCTATGTGCACTCTCACCTGTGTTCTCTGTCTAAAGGTTTGGAGCTCCCCATTTACTGTTCTTGGCCCACTCTCCCTAATGAAGCCCTCACGTTCCTGTGTATTTTTCTCACTCTCTAAAAAATCCTAAACCTCATCATGCTGCATGTCTTGTTTGAGCCAGTGCTTAGAATTCTTCTCTAAGTAAATGGCAAGAACCAGAAATATTAAATTTTGGCTTAGTTTAACCCAGAACAGCAGGGACAATGAAGATAAAATTTTACGTTTTGCATCAAAATTCCATGGAGAGTTAGATGGGCAAGGGACAGTTCTCAAGACAGAGTTGGAGCCACACTGGCCTGCAGACCCCTTGCTTGGCCCTGTTAATATTTTGCCTGCAGTCCTGCATGCTGCTCCGGGTCTGTCTCATGTTCCTGTCTGCTCCTGACATGCTTACAGCTGGAAGGACAACGTGGACTGTTGGGGAGCACGCTAAGGGAGGGGTGGAGCTTGGGTTTGCCTGTTGCTTTGACATCAGTGGGAGGAAACCACAGAGAGTCGTGGGTGTGTGGCACATCCTGGGTGTTTTTCTGCAGGGTTTATATTGGCCCTGCCCCCTTCGTCTGCAGCAAGGGTTCTGGGAGTACTTGCCAGGGCTTTAAGAGGTGACTATTTGGTGTGCTTGTGAGTTAGGAACTAGCAAGAACATTTCTAGCTGTTTTTCACAGCTGAAAAATAAACCTCTTCTGAATATTTAGGAAATAAAATATGAAGACTTATTCAGAGAATCCTATTATTAAATTATTCTCTTTCTTTTAAAAAAAAGATTTATGTGTTATTTTTGAAAGGTAAAGTCACAGAGAGAGAAGGAGAGACAGAGAGAAAGATCTTGCATCTGCTGGTCCACTCCCCAGACAGCCACACAGCTAGAGCTGGGTCAAGCTGAAGGCAGAAGTCTGCGACTTTGTCCAGGTCTCCCACATGGATTGCAGGGGCCTAAGTCCTTGGGCCATCTTCTGCTGCCTTCCCAGGTGCATAAGCAGGGAGCTGGACTGGAAACGGAGAAGCCGGACTTGAACTGGTGCTCATGTGGGAGGCTAGCATAGCAGGTGGTGGTGTAACCTGCTGTGCCACAATGGTGGTTACGAACATTTTAACCAATTGTATCTCCTGCTAAAATTTCATAGACCAAAGATTCACTAAACACACTTCCAACTTTACAGACTCCTAGTGCCGAGGAAGAAGTAGTCATCTTTCAAACAAAAACTCAACAACATGAAATATAATATTTATATATCTTGACCACTATCATATTTCACTTTATCACCTGCTGAAATCATGATGATTCTATTGATTAGTGCAGTTAAAATGTGTTAGAGTAATTACCATTACATGTGGATGGTGCTTTTAAGACTAAATTGGAATTTATTTATTTCCTTGGGCAATCTCAATTGCTAAGAACAGATAAATAATTTTTCTCTTTAGAGGATACTAATAAGATCTTTTCTGGCAAAATGCACATTTATTACAAACTACCTTCTCTAATCTTTCCCTAGAGAGAGAAATGGGAAACTATAAAAGATGTTTCTGGTCTTTTACTTTGAATCAGTGGTTAACTGTTGAATATCTCAACCCGGTTTCTTTTGAGCACAAGATTTGCTTTTTTTTTTAATCACTCTACATAATGTAGGAAATACAGAGCAAAGTATGGATTCTTGCTTATAACCACATTTTCTAACTTTTTCTTTTTTAAATTTTGTTTCTTCTCATTCAACCCAGTAATAACCAACAACTAACAGTAAAAAATATTGAGATAAGAAAATTCCTTCTTTGTGAAAGTGGTAAAAAAATTTAGCCTCCACAAAAGCCTCAACTATCAACTAAGATGTTAATATGAGGAGACTTTGGAAGTTTATGGAAAATGAAATGAAAAGATAAGTTTATTTTGGTGCAAAATATTTTTGAAATCCATGTCTATGAGGTCTTAAAAACTTTTTGGAAATGCATATTAGAAAAAAACTCTGCATGGATTTCAAAATTGTTTGCACCAGAATGAACTTATCTATTCATTTTGGGTTTCCATAAACTTTCTGAGATATCCTCATACAAATTGTGGTACAGAACCAGTAGCAATCATTGGTACAGACAGATGAGTCAGGCACACCCCCAATTGTGAAGACCTGTGGGAGGGTTTAGGCCTTCATAGTGAGTTTTTGAAGACCTCACTTAAGGACTCAGAGGCATTTGAAAATCATGATTTATTAGGTTAACAGAAATTTTCAGAGATCTGCCACAAGGTACCAAGGAAGAATGCTGACCTTGGAGACAATAATAGAGTCAGTTTAACTGTCATTAGGTGGGAGAGACAGGTGTCTCCAGGAATCCCGAGTGCAGTGCTTGTCACACATCATGGCAGCTTTCTGGAAAGGAAGAGAGAAGTGATAACTCTCTGAGATCGTGCGGAAAACTCTGGTTTTGGGGCTAGAGGTGCAATGGGCTAACTATGCAACACTGAAAGTTGTGAAGAGATGGCAAGTGGAAATGCAGTAAAATCCTCAAGATAAAGCAACAAAACGCAAGTCTCTGTGGTGCACAGCAGCCTGCAAATGTCCTGTACACGTTTGCCCCAGATTCCAGGGCACAGATCTAGTGTGACATTATGACTTTGCAATGGATTTCTGTAAACACATCTTAAGTGTTTTCTTATATCTCCCACTGGAACTTTAGGCTACCCTTTTCCTATTGCATTTCTATAAAAACTAGAAGGTAGACTCTTATCTTTCACCAGGGAGCCTTTTAGGTATACAAATAATGCTCATGGCCGTGTGTGTTTGATTTATTGCCAAGATCATGAGAGCATTCCAAATGGCCATGGTTTAAGTGTTGCCTATTTCCTGTTGGGACTATTATACTTTAAATACAATTCTTATTCTTTTTTTCCCTCTTCTTTGCCCATATAGGTAATCTCAAATTACACCATAAAGGTAACCAGCTGCAGAAGCAGAAGACAACCCCACACCCTGAGGAGTGTATTACCTGAAAAGCCAGATAGTACCTGGTCAGTCTCAGCTGAGCAAAGTATTTGGTTTGCTTTGCTTTGTGCCAGCCAGTGTTCTACTTTCATTTTCACAGCAGCCAGTCCTGTGACATTGATGACACAGTGTGCTGAAATGCGAGAAGCTGTCTTTTAGTTATTATGTGTGTACAAGCCTGGTTTGCTTAATCACAAAACCGTGATGATGCCAAAAATTTGATAAAGCATCAGGAGATTGAAAAATCAGGTTTCGGGCATGTCTGTTTCTGCCAAGGCCTCCAATGCCATTGGAAGAGCCTGGTATAGATAGGTTAATCTGGAAATGCCTCTAGGCAAATTCAGTTCTTTTCTTAGTTTCTTTCCAGCACCAGGATCATTTTATACCCATGGATTATTTGTGCAATACTTTTCCTCAGTAAGTTAGTTAATGAAAGTAAAACCTCTAGAGAAACTACGCTTATATCTTGTTTCTATATTGATCCATTTAATATCTTTTCCCCTCCTTTTGGGGAACTTAATCTGGTGCGGCTAAAACAAAGCTCAGCTTTTGGGGAGGGACCGACGGTGTGTGGAGACTTGAACCTTCACTCGCCCCATCTCTGCTCCTTACAAATGGTGTGGGATGAGAAGAGGCAAGTTTTCTGACTCAGTTTCTCTACTTGCAGGACAGATCATTCTTGTGGCTTATGCATGCATTAGCTATGGATGAGCCAATGTATTTGTTAGTTTCTGCACTGGTCACTTACACTCCCCAGTTCTCTCCTTAGTTCAATCATTCATTTTTCCTACGTGTACATTTTTTTTAACTTTTATTTAATGAATATAAATTTCCAAAGTACAGAATATGGATTACAATGGCTTCCCCCCATAACGTCCCTCCCACCCGCAACCCTACATTTTGATTACAATTATGTGCCAGGTCCCATGTTAGATACTGGAGATACGGCATTCTGCTTGTTACAGAACTTACATTTTATCAGGGAGTATAGACAAACACAGAGAAAATAATAAAATGCTATATGCCTTTGTAGTAAAGTGCAGTGGGGCTGGAGACCCTTTTTTTCTGCCAAAGGCCATTTGGATTTTTATAAATATCATTCACAGGCCATACAAAACTATCAACTTAAAAATCACCCTGCTCTAGATTAATTGAATTCCAGGCCCCACCTGTGGTTGCCTTGGCAGGGCCAGAGCAAGTAAGTTCCCGGGCTTTATAGAAGCCATGGGCCGATCCCCTTGCCTGAATGAACACCCACACAGAGGTGAACAATTAAATGAGGTGCAGTTCAATGTTTATTAGTGGTCTGTGTTACTATTATGCTTTACTATAATATTTTGTTTAGTTTGCTCTATAAATTACTTGATATATGGGAACTATATCTTTGAAATTTTACTAAACTTTAGGTAAATCTCTTGTTTTATTCCAATATTTTTGTAAGTATACCTGCCATTCAAAACTATAAGCTATGTTTAAAATGAAATGGTAACTTTTAAAAAATGCAGTGCAGACAGAAACATCAACTCAAAATGTTATGGAACACATGAGCAGCCTATCTAATCCAGGAGAAGTCCTGGAGAGGAACATTTGAACAGAGTCTACAAGGTCAGTGAGAGTTAAATATACACAAAGCAGAGAAATGCCTCATACTGAGGGCACAGATTACGCAAGAGTATAAAGGTGAGAAGCCTCATTCAAGAAAGCACAGTTCAAAACAAATACAGAAAACCTGGATAGCGATTTGTATAAAGCATAAGGTGGTAAGAGATGAGGTTGAAGAGAACCCGAAACACCATGGCCGTACAGAGCTGAACTTGGAGTTGGTGCTTAATTGGGTCTAAGGTTTAGGTTGCTACCCCCGGCTGTAGTGCCTAGAATGGACTGGAGAAATTGGGTGCCTCCAGAGTGACCAGTACACATCTGTAAGTAAACACTATGTGTTTCAAAGCCTAAAGACATGAGAAATACTATCATTTCTACACAAGAGTGATTGGAAACGTATTTTTAGTCTGCTTAATGTACATCACCATTGTTTGGAGACATATATAATACAAAGGGACTTAAAAATTTGTGAAAATGAAATAAAAAGACAAGCTTATTTTGGCACAAAATATTTTGAAATATATGCCCAGTTTGCTTTTTTAAATAATACATATTTCACCAACTTTTTGAAAACTTTTGTATGCATGGATCTCAAAGGTTTTTTTTTTTTTTTTTTTTTTTTTTTTGCACCAAAATAAACTTACCTTTTAATCCCATCATGAGCGTTTTGAGTACCCGCATAGGAACATTTATACCTTTAACATGACATCAAGCAAAGAGGATGCTCAAATGAGAAGCATACTTCCGTGGGCACATTTAGGTTTGTTAATCAGTTTATCACCAACATTATCTCACTGTAAGCATAGATGGTTCCAGGTGTGTTTGCCTCTTGGGTAAGATAGACTTCGGTGACACATACTACCCATTTGGTTATAGCTCCTCCTCCTTTCTTCCTGCGTATTTCAATAGATGGCTCCCTTGGAGAATGGTAGTTTTAGAAGCTCCACATTGAGAGGTAATTTTAGAAGCTCCACATTGAGAACAATTGGAGAGAGTTCTCTTAATTACCTTCTTTTTAAGTTGTTCTTTTTTCTGCCTCACATATGCCACGCATGTTCTTTAGTTTCAACATACAGTATATTGCGAATCATTAGGCATATGCTACAATTCATGTCCTCAAATCTGGTCGCAGTCACAGGCTATTTAGATTTATAGTGTTCTTCCTTGGTGGGGGCGGCTCAGGGCTTCATTCCCTTTCATCCTTGATGAATAAAGAAAGAGAAAACACAGTGATTGGAACTTTGAGACCTGGATACAATCGTCTTCCTTCCCTAGTGACTTTTTTTCCCACATCAGCCCGTGTTTGTGTTTTAGGATATTTTTTCCCTTGAGACACAGATGGAGACAACATGCAATCAGTAATACTAACATTTTAAAAATACAGATAAAATAGATTTAAATGAGAACCAGATTAACTTTCTTAGAATCTTTCTAGAATTTATCACAGAAGAATTTGTTCATTAACAATAAAATATTTATTTAGGAAATACAATTTCTATTTAAGAATTGCTATTGGGGCAGGTGCTTGGTGCAGTGGTTAACACACTGATTGGGATACTTGCATCCTCTATGGAGAGTGCCTGGTTTTAACTTCTGCCTGCACACCTGACTGCAGCTTCCCACTCAAGTGATAGCTCACATACTTGGATGTCTGCCACACATGTGGGAGACCTAGACTGAGCTCCTGGTCCCAGACATTTGGGAAGTGGATGAAAGTTTTCTCTCTCTCTCTCATCTCCCCCTCCCCTTGTCTCTTTGCCTCTCAAATGAAAATAAATAAATAAATAGCAATTCATAGTTTCTGACTTTATTGCAGGCCCTGTAGGTACTTCAGCAAAATCGGTTTTGTAATTTAGTGTCATATGAAATGGAAATGATAATCTTGAATTTGCTTGATTCTTTTATTTTATGAGCTGAAATAACCATATATGTATATATGTGCATGTACACACACACACACACACACACATCTGAATTGCTTTCTAACCACTTAGTACAGATGACTTACAAAATTCTGAGGTGTAAAGTGGAAAAGTTAGAAGAATGACTCATTTACACTGCCAGAGGCCCTCAGTCCACAACACACAGGGCTGAAACTTTTGTTAAGATTTATTTGTATGCATTGGAAAGGTGGAGTGACAGAGAGAGAAAGAGAGCTTCCATTCACTTGTTCACTCCCTAAATGGTCACAACAGCTGGGGATGGGCCAGTTGGAAGCCAGGAGCCTGGAACTCCATCCAGGTCTTCCACATGGTGGCAGGGGCTCAAGTACTTGGGCCGTCTTCCACCGCCATCCCAGGCACCTTAGCAGGGAGCTGGATGGGAAGTGGAGCGTCTGGGTATCACACCGGTGCTCTGATACAGGATGCTGGCATTGTGGGCAACACTTTAACTTGCTGTGCCACAATGGCAGCCCTCTGGGTTGAAGACTTTTAAACAAAAGAGCACCTTTCAGGCATTTAAAATATTCTACTTGCTTGTGTAACATCAACATGTTATGCAGATAGCAGCTCATATTCAGTAGAAAACATCAGAATTATTTAGTTTAATCTTGCCACCTGGAAACATTACCTCTGTAACAGTCATGGTGCGAGGACATCCCATTTGTCTCAACATATCCAGTGACAGAAGATGTACTGTCTGCCTTGAATTTCAGATATATTTTCAGGCAAAATAATTTTTAGACAGTTCTTCCTTGCAATAATCCAGTCGCCTTTTGCTGCAATTTTCACCTGCTTGGTTTTGTTCTGCCCTTCAAGGGTCTGAGAGAATGAATCTAATCTGTCTTCTATCTGACACAGCTTCAACTATTTAGAGGCAGCTACTATATCTCCAGTCTTTTTCCATCTCCTGTTAAACATTATGAAAATTTCCACCTGTTACTCAGGATTTTGTTTGTCAAAGACCTTTGGAATCCAGGCATCCAGACTTGAGCACAAAGTCACTGATGTGTTCAGCTAAGGAATCACCAGTCACCAACTTGTGTGTGTGTGTGTGTGTGTGTACTGAGGATTTATCTATTTATCTGAAAGGCAGAGTTACAGAGAGGCAGAGGTAGAGAGAGAGAGAGAGAGAGAGGGAGAGAGAGAGAGAGATCTTCCATCCACTGGTTCACTCCACATTTGGCCACAATGGCCAGAGCTGGGCTGACCTGAAGCTGGGAGCCAGGAGCTTCTTCTGGGACTCCCTCGTGGGTGTAGGGGCCCAAGGACTTGGGCCACCTTCTCCTGCTTTCCCAGGCCACAATAGAGAGCTGGATCAGAAGTGGAACGGTGGAGTGGCTGGAACTATAACTGGTGCCCATAAGGGATGCTGGAACTGTAGGTAGTGGTTTACCTGCTATGCCACAGCGCTGGCCCCCATCTTTGTTTTTGAAATAACAGATAAGAAGTGTTTTTGTTTTTTAATCTTCTAAAAAAATTTG